TAAGTATAAGTCAAGTATACTTAAATGTCATTTTAAGTATATTTCTGAGAAGTACATAAAGCCCATTTCTGAGAAGTACATAAAAAGTAGACAAAGTATACTTTCCTATTTTTTAGTTTAAAAGAAGTATACTAATAGCACACTTGAATAAACTTCTTTTTCGTAAGAGTAGTACAGAAATTAATGGCGTCGCCGGTTTAGTCGACAGATATACGTGACAGAAGGGAAAACGTTTCTTAAGTCACAGTGCGTACACTCATACAGCAACACATTGGGACTGAAACAGCGTTATTGTGGCAAAACAGTGATGGGTTCCACTTCAAGATGAACACTGTTGAAATAAGCGTGTATTGCTTATGGATTCTACATAATTAGTCTTTTTAAGGATATAAATTAGAAGGTAAATGCAGCATAAACCTCTAATGTCAACCTAAATGCCACTGAATCTCACGAATAATGCACTTAAAGCAGTTGCATTATTGATATCCTTCACGATCGACGGATATACTTCAGGACCTCCCTCATCAAACAAGACATTTGACTTTCTGAACTTCACAATGTGATCAAATCAATCATTTTAATCACTTGGTTTTATAAACTAGTCAATAACGAAACTGGCTTATCTCTATATCATCACATACCGACCATCATTCATTCTCATTCTCATTCTCACTGAATGAATCTTCACCAACAAAGTAATCAAAAGATCAGTCACAATGTTATTGCCTTCTCTGTAAAGTTACTAGACTATGAAACAACTCTAAACTACTAATCAGCAGTTTTTCATACAGTAAATAAAAGTGAACACAAACGGTTTTGCAAGGCCTTGCGGCACCTCGCCTCATTGGAACTTGGAAACTGTGAGATGAAATATCCACAGAACAAGAAATTATTACAAATATCAACACAAAATTGCACACTTGTGAGAGATGAATAACAGCTGCAATATGGAGTTCAGAGGGCACTGCTAGTGCTGAGGTCTTTACTCAAAACTTGGATTAACACTACATATTATCAGTTTTAGTATGAGTACTACTGGTGACATTAGCATTAGTATTCAAGATCATGTCTAGCTCAGTGACAGCTCAGTCACTCAACATTTCTTCTTGCACCACAATGCAAAGCTCTTCAGAGACTGTGATCTGTTTCAAGGCTAAAGTACAATGCATTTTTGGGAGAAGGACTGCTGCACGGAAACATCTGAAAAGCCACTGGGAACTATGGCTGTTGCTCTGTCTGGTTCTGGAACTGAGGGACCCCATGTGGAGAGACATGCGAAGACACAGCACCCCTGTAGACAGAGCGACTCATGGGCCATGCAGAAACTCACAGCTCAGTGCTCATGTAGCAACAGACATACTGAACCAGTGAAGAATGTGGTGACTGTAATGTAATGTGAATGTGTATGATTTTTATTTGCATATCACAGACATTCTGAGAGAGAGAGAGAGCTTTTTTGTTATAAATTAAATGATTTTAATTGCAAATAGAAGCTCAGTGTTTTATCTTTATATAAACAGGCTAAATGGATTAACTATTTTAAGATAGTAAGAACAGGTTGAACCCAAAACAACCCTTTATGAAACAAAACAAGAAC